CGCGTGCTAAATACGCTGCCGTGAGACCAGACACACGCGCGGACCCAGGACCGTATTTATCGCATGCAAGCGGCCAGCGTAGAAAATCGCGACAGTTGTGTCTAGGCTTTTAGGGCAGTGAGCAAGATTTCAATATTATGGCGTTACTCTTGATATATATATATATATATTCAAGAATACCATATTATGAAATTTCTTAACACCAAAATAGAATAGCCAATTCCAGAATAAGCTAAATATATATATATTTATTATATATATATCAAGAGTACATAATTGAGATCTATATGTATAGAACATCTCTATTATGTACTCTTGATATATATATATGATATATATATATATACATAACAACAGTTTACCCCAATATTAGCTGTTAAAAAAATCTGAACAGTGCTGCCTATCAGGCATTATCTGAAATGAATACAACTTTAGATTCTTTTACCATTCACAGTGAGGTTAATGCACGTGTCACGCTGTAGTGTGGGATGCTAGTTACGTTACAGCAATTGGCAACACATGCTATATAATGAAAGAAGCCTAATTTCGCCATGTAAACCGTAGTCGACCAATACTTTGTCTTTCATAATAACCTGTCACTGCATCTTATACGCTCATCTTTCCCAGCACCGCCAGGAACACCAGCTAGTTTGTAAAAAAAAACATCCTACTCACCACATACTTTAGGTTGTGGTTAGCAACAATCACCATGACAATAACCCTGGCAGTAAGGAAGGGCGGTACAGCATTTAGTCATAATGTGTAACGATAAATGTAAAAAACAAACGTTTATGGGAAAAATGTGTATTATTTATTAAAATAGTTAAATAAAAATAATAATGCTGCGAAATGTGAATTTGATATTAGGCGTTTAAGGCAAATCGCAATTAAAAGTGCAGATGCAGTGTTGTACTTGACTGGTTAGGACATAACAATTGTTGGGTGTGGTTTATTAAGGCGGATGACTTTTGCTAAATTGAACTATCGAACATTTTACGAAAATGTACTGATTGCCCATGAAAAAGATTCGTAGGGATATTGTACTTTCAACGTGTGGCTAGAATAAAGTTGTATTTTTCCACTTAGCTATAGTAGTGACCATATTTCATTAAAAAAACTCCCTGCAAACTTATTTGCAATATGTAGCATTTTTATATTTTTATTTAGCAGCTTACAAACATGTTGACTACAAAATCTTACAACATTTTTCTTAAACACCGTTAGCCCCCGTGAAAATCCATCATAAACGTTCATAGGCACACAACCACTTCCCATGTAAGATGTCCTGCGGATAATTTTAATCTATATTTCTTAGAGTCCATGATATCAGAAGTAGATAATAGGGAACTATTTAACTAGTTTACTATAGGGTCTATTATCTACTTCTGATGATATCCTTTGATTAAAGTCCATTTGCGGTATAACAGAAATGTAAAGAATGCAGCAATTACCTAGTATTGTAGTGGGCCTAGGGTGGCCGCAACTGGATTTTCAGTGCTAAGTTAACACGTGTAATTTATTTGATTCGGGATCATGTTTCGCTCCCACCGTAAAGGCAGGACGGCGATACAGTAGCAAGAAAACCGCAGAGCGAAATGAAACAAAGTCAGTTTATTTTATTTACACAATGGATAACTTTATTTAGTTACAGTTATACGAATAAGATGTATCTAGCATAAGCATATCTAAAATATAGAATATAGAAAATCCGTACGTTATCGTTTACTTTGCATATTTTAACTATATGTTTCTATTGCCTATTACCTGTTCCTAAAGTCGTGTTGCCCCGGTTGTTGCTCCTCGTTGGTTGCTGCTGCTGTTCGTTCACGTTGGTAGAAGTGTGGCTCCTCGAACCGTCCGATACGTCGCTCCTCGAGTGTGTTGACGCACTGTTCGAATCGTGATTAAGACCAACCTTTTTATTATTCGGTATGCCTTCTGGTCGTTTTTCCCTCTCTTCCCTTGTCGTCGGCGATGCTCAACTAAGCTCGTAGGTGACTTCTTCTTGCGATGGTTTGCTCTTTCGTGCTCGTAGTCGAACGCTCCCTCTATGTGTTGCTCTCTCGATCTCATGGCCGAAAACCGACTTTTCCCTCGATGCTTTCTCGTCACAGTCCCGCTGTAGGTTGGTTGCTCTTTGCAGCTCGTCGACGACTAACTTTTCCTTCGATGCTTGCTCTTTCGAGCTCACAGGCGTCCTGGCTGAACTCGCATTTACAGGCGGATCGTGGGTGCTTATATAACAGCCTGGATGTGACGTAGGACCAAGAGATAGAAAGCTCCCCAGCACAGAGACAAGTGGAGAAGGGGGACTAACATCTCCATGGGCCAGGGTGGACTGCCGCTCATAGGGCCTATGTCCCCAGGGTACTGGCGGACATTACCCTGGTAGCGTCGGTATATCCGGAACGTACTCCTGGTCCAATTTGATATGTGTTAGGGTTAGGATTAGGGTAGGGTTAGGTAGGTTAAGGTTCAGGTTTAAGGTTAGGGTATAGGCGTTTAGGGAGTAGGCGTTAGGTGACTCCCTGCTAGACTCGATTTAGTGGAGTAAGGCGAGTACGGTCACAGCATTTAGAAGTAACAGGGTACGTTCAAGGTATACCATACCGTACCCAGGTAACGTTTCGGCAAGTTCCCGGAGACATAGCCGTCTCAGCGGTACTGCAG